GGTACTACTTCCAAAACTTGAGTATATATTAGCAAACGTCTGCCTTAAGAAAAAATTTTGTGATATGATATATCAGCCTATGCTAAGACTTATGAAGTAGAAAATGGAACTATTATCTATATGCATAAATGCAACTCTTTAGTACAAAGAGATATTTGGAGTAGTAAGCCTATAGCAAAAACATATAGAGTATCACATATTTGAGCTCTTTGTAAGAATAAATTCTAATAGTATCATAGGTATAACTACTCTAATGAGGTTAAAGTAGTCCCAGTTAGATATGAATATGTCAGAGTGTATTCTCATTGCAGAAAACATAAATTAGAAAAAGACTAAGCACAGAAATCTAGAAGCCAAAATAATGCAGCACGCAAAATGATTTGGCCTTAGTGTTGCAAAAAATGAGTTTACTGTAGCTTGGGACTTCTTAAATTTACAAGAAGACAAAAACTGTCTGATCAGTAATATACTTGACAAGTACAAATTAAAAGAGACACAAGAAGGTATAAGTAAGCTAAATTTATGGCACGTAAACTAGCTTTTAGACAAGAAACAAGAGGGAATAGTTACTTAGAAACAGCTAAAAGCAAGAGAAGGGAGAAGATATACAGAAAGAAAGGCCCAATGGTTTAAGTTATTAGAAAAAGAATTACTAGCAGATGAGAAGTTAAGAGAAGTGGTTGAAGAATACAGAAAAAAAAAGATTTCAAGTACGAGAAGTTAAGTCGAAGATTTCACAAGACAAAAGGAAAAAAGAGTAGGTACTTGTAAAAGGTAAAGAAAACAAAGAGATTGAATTTGGTCATATTATTAGAAAAGAAAAGAAGCTTGTAGAAGTAGAGATTTGGAAAGAAGATTACGAAAATTCACAAGAAGTACTTGACTAGCAAGAAGTACTTACTCAGCAAGAAATTTATAAGGAAGGTTACAACCTTAAAAAAAGTAGTCAAAAGCAAAGAATAGTATTGAAAGATGTGCATAATATCTTAAGCTTTATACAGAAAAAAGATAATAGACTACAAGTAGTATTCAATAGAAAGTACTTGAAAAAAATAGGAAAGGAAAACCAGAAAAGTAAGGTAGAAAAGTTCAAAAAGTTCAAGAATTTAGAGCATGTCGAGATAGAAGGAAGCTAAAAAGTAGAGCTAATTAATCAAGTTATCTAGAATACGAAAAATAGAAAAGAATTTAAAGATAGATTAGAAGCAAATAGAAAGAAGGAAGAAATAGTATTTTATACAGATAGCTCACTCAGTAGAGAAGATACGTGGATAGAACAAGAATAGGATATAGTATAGTTCAAATAAATAGCGCAAATAATATAGTCTTTAGTTACAAAGGAAGGATAGAAAATTGGTTCTCATATATTTGAGCAGAGCTGGTAGCTTGCCTAGTAGTAGTGTTATTAGTTCCCAGCAGGCGTAAAGTAGAAATAAGAATAGATAGCACATGAACAATTCTCGCAATTGAAAAATGCCTCAAAAATGAGAAGTTATGTGAGTGGTTAAAAACCAAAAACAACAACATTCTGCATGCAATTAAGAAAGTCTGCAAGAGTAAATCAGTTCAACTAATATTTACAAAAGTCAAAAGTCATTCAGAAGATATATATAATAATATAGCAAACAGACTCACAAAAGAGAGGATATATGAAGTACAGAGTATAGAACTAAATAATATTAGTAACAAGAGTATGAAGTATATTCCTGAATGGAAAAGCCTAAGCTTGGAGACTCCTTTGAGAGCCTTTATTAAAAAGATAGTCCAAACAACATACAAGACAGAGTGGATATGGTTAAGAAAAAAAATGATGAGAAACACTAAGCAAGGATCCAAAAACAAAATTGGAAAGCATTTAAAGGTATCCTTAAAGCTGCCGTATGCAATATTAAAACTCAGAAGTAAATCACCTGCGACTATTCAAAATCAAGTGCATCAAAAACTTCCTCCCAACTATTGAAGTCTTAAACCATAGAAAACCACAGCTATATAAAAGTAGCTTATACAAGAGATGTAGCAAGGAAAAAGAAACGATCGAACATATAATCATGTATGAAAAAATATATCTCGCATATAAAAAAATTGAGAAAGAAATATGGAAAAGGCTTAGTAAAGATAAAAGGAAGGAGGAAAATTGGGATTTGATAAGTATCTAACAGGCCTTATACTATGAACAGGAAGAAAAGTATTAAAAAAAGAAAGAATGGATACATAGCATTCTCAGTGAAGATGATGCGGAAAAAATTAAGAGTATTATCAGTTTTGAAGGAATGATAACCAAATTTTGAAGCCTCTACTAGTATATTTGAATAGAACTCGTATATGAAGAAATATGGAAAACATGATGCAAAAATATGGAAGCATAGGAGAAAAAGGAAAAAATCTCAAAAAAAGAAAAATACTCACTGAAAAAAAGAGAAAAGAATGATCCAAAAAAAGCATCTGCTAGGGAAAAAACAAATAACAGAGTAGATGAGAATATAGAAGTCTATAATTTTAGTCTTAAAATAGCATTAAATAGTATAGCTAGGGAAGTAAAGGAGAGAATAATAGATAGTTAAAGTTAAAACTAGTCATGATGGGCTGTAGCGTCCTTCCTATCTTGACTTACAATTTATATTTTAAATTGTTTCAATATAGGACAAAGGTCACTATAGCAAATCATACATAGGTATCAATAGAATAACTAGGTGAGTCATAGCTTAAAAAATTAGTCATTAGATAGTACACCACTAAATAATGTTGTTTTTAAAAGAAAAACAAATCTAAATAAAGTTATAGCATGACTGCTGAATTAAAAAAAAATTATAACTGTTATAATAGTATAGTATAAAAGCTTTAAGTTTACTTATTATATCTGACTAAGTTTATAGAAAAAATAATTTACTAAAGCTTCTGAAAAAGTATTATAAACTATATTAAAAAAATTTTAAATTAATTAAGTTATTTGTATAATAATCTATAACTCAAAAAATACTTTAATCTGACTCAACTCATAATTTAGAAAATATGCTTTAATTATCTGATATTATGTTTCTATTCAAAATTATTACTATTCTGAATTATGAAATTACATTGTATCTAAAATTTTTACAGATTTGTATAATTGTAATTAATAATAATACAAGTATATTTTTGTAGTTTTTAAGACTTTAAATAAAGTTTTCTTAATAACTACTTAAACAAATTCAAAAAAAATTATATATTTCAATTTTATATATATGTATAATTAAAAATTTTTTTTATCAAACTTGATTAAGCAGTTGTTAAAAAACTTTATTTAAAATTTAATAGGATTTAATCTGTTTATAAATAAAAAACTGTATCTAAATTTTTTAAAACTTTGAACAAATTTTTTTAACAACTATTTAATCAAATTTATATTAATATGTAATTAGTATATTATAATATAAATTTATTACAAAAGATAGATATTATTTGAATATTTTCTTTATAGAAACAATTTATAAAAAAATTAACATTGATGAAATTTTTAATTATTTTAATAATATAGAAATATAAAATTGAAATAATAAAATATTCATTAAGTTTTAACAATTTATAATAATATTAATATTGATAAAAAATTTTTTATTTTAATAATATAAAATTAAAATAATAAAGCATTCATTAAGTTTTATTAGGTTTGTTGAGAAAAATTTGTCCAAAGTTTGAGAAAATACATTACAACTTAGAAAAAGTATTAGAGACTAAATTTTTTTTAAACTTAGAATGAAGTTTTCTCAGTAACTATCTAACCAAATTTAATAAAAATTATTAATCTCAATTATACATATCTGCAGAATTATAATAAAAGATTTTTAATTGAATTTTGTTAGGTAGTTGTCAAGAAAACTTCACTCAAAGTTTGAAAATATTTATTCCCCTATAAACAAACTATACTTAAATTTTTTAAAAACTTTGAGTAAAGTTTTCTTGACAACTACTTAACCAAATTAAATAAAATTTTTTATTTTAATTCTGCAGACATGCAGAATTGTAATAAAAAATTTCATTGAATTTTGTTGGATAGTTGTCAAAATAACTTCGCTCAAAGTTTTAAAAAAGTTTACCTCTACCACCGTTTTTTCTTAAGTCGCGATGAATTTTCTCAAGCTTTGAGCGAATTTTTCTTGATAACTACCTAATAAAACTCAATGAAAAATTTTTATTTCAATTTTACATTTCTGTATAATAAAATAAAAAAATATTCATCGAGTTTGATTAAGTAGTTGTCGAAAAAACTTCGCTCAAAATTTTAAAAAATTTAGGCGCAGTTGTTTATAGGCGGATAAATCTTCTCTAAACTTTGAGTGAAGTTATCGACAACCACCTAAGAAAATTCGATAAAATTTATATTATTTTAATTCTACAGACAAGTATAATTGTAATATTAAATTTTCTTTGAACTTGATTAGGTAGTTATCTAGTAAAATTGATGTTAGTTGATTACATTTTGAAATTTAAATATGTTAAGTTTTAATAATTTCGGGTCGGGTTTGGGTTGGTTGAAGTGCTAACCCGAAAGTGTTTCACCCGACCCGTTCGGAGCACTAGTAGTATTGGTACATATGTGAAGGACATGCCCGTTTTAGTGAGAGTAATAAAATCTTATCATAATATTTAAATATAAAAACCATGTTTTTCGATGTTATTAAAAATGCATTAAAATTATTAGGGTAGTTGTCGGTATATATGTGAAGGACAGACATAAAATACTATCATACCACTTAGATAATATTTCATTTGTTAAAAATGAACCATTTAAATTTTACATTTTTGTGATCAAGTTATAGTAAAACAAGTTTAGACTACATTGTTGTGTAATGCAATCTCGGATCCTTAAATTGAAATTTATCCAAATTAAATCAACAATTCTGTAACTCTCTCTGATTATCATAATATTATAATGGAGAATTATATCTACTTTACAATGCTTTTCTTTCTTTCCCTTTTTATTATTGGTGAAATAATTTGTGTACGATTATTGCGGATTCCAGCATTGGTCGGATACATTCTTATCGGAATACTATTCGTATCGTTGCCAATAAATATGCTAGGCAAAACCACCGATACTTACGATATTTTAGGTAAGTTAGGTATATTAATGTGCATCTTTGAAGGTGAGCTGATTTTAATTTTAATTTTTTTTTTGATCATTCGAAAATATATTCATAGACAGGACCCCACTAGTGTTTTGAGCGAAACTCAATTTTGCTTATCAAAATTTGGTGAAACTAGTTTCGCCCGAAACACTAGACCCCACTAGCGATACTGACAATATTAGATCATTTACATATAAGTTTATTTTTCAAAATTTAATAAAAATATACATGAGCTAGGTGCTGCAAAAAGGGACGAAATTGACAAAAAAAAAAAAAGATCTTTGGAAAATCAATTTTTATGTTATAGATCTTATAATAAATCATAAGAAATGCAAGTTTTAAAGAGTTATATAGCAAAATTTTATTAAGATAACAGCATTTGTTTCTTAAGTGAAAAATATTCCTGAGTTAATTTTGTATTAGTTAGGCTCAAAAAAAAAAAAGGTTTGAAAAAATTGTCAATTTGGTCCCTTTTTGCAGCACCTAGCCCATATATTTGTATAATAGATGTCAATAATTCGAATTTATGCCGTTTTTAATTTGATTGTATATTGCACGATTACCTTTAAAAATTAAGAGTAATTTCATAATAATAAGAAACTACTTTAGATATTTTTGATTTAATTTTTAAGATTTTCGACTTTTGCATTCAGTAAAAAATTTTGCATAAATTGAAAAAGTGATGACTGTTGCTATATTGCTAAAAAATATTTGAGTTCGGCAAAAAACACTATTCATATTATCAAATTTGAACTTGATTTCTGATTGATAAACTCGCCTTGGTTGAACATTAATTTTTTTTTTTATTATTAATTAGGTGGTCTTTCTCTCAATATAAATGCGGTTAAGAAGACAGCACCGCGCGCACTACTAGTTGCAATCATTGGAATCCTTGCTTCAATAGGAGCATGTACCATAATGATGTACTTTGCTTTCAAATTTAAAATTAGCGAATCTTTCTTATCTGGAATCGCGCTCTCTTCCACCTCAGTCGCAGTTGCAATAACTATAATGGTTCAACATCAGATGCTCTCGTCCCCAGTTGGCTATCTAATCATCACAGCGGCTTTATTTGATGATATCATTTGCCTGATCCTTCTTTCTACAGTAACTCAAATATTTGGATCTGGCATCGACTTCTGGAGTGTTTTCCGTCCAATAATCGCGTCATTCGGGATAATAATTGTGGGAATTGGTCTATGTTTTGGAATTGTATTATTAAACAATTGGGTTTATATGAAAATTTCCCAAAAAGATGAGAATGATAAAAAGGAAAAACTTTATCATTATGGACTTTTGTTATTTATGTTAATCTACGGAGGCATATTAAGCTTTGCTGCTGATTTTGCAGGGAGTTCTAGGTTACTAGGCGCGTTTATGGCGGGTCTGGCCTTCTCAGCTATTGAAGATGCTCTATTAATATGGGAGAACAAAGTACTAATCATCCAGAAATGCCTAATGACAATTTTTTTTGCTTCTATTGGTTTTATTATTCTTGCTCAAGAATTATTTCAATTGGAAATCCTCCTTAAAGGTACTCTATATTCATTAGTCGCAGCATTTGGAAAATTGGTCACAGGTTTTTTTCACATCTCCACATCCAAATCTGAGAAATTAGTTGTTAGCTTCGCGATGGTAGCTCGTGGTGAGTTGGGACTAGTATTGATTTTGCAGTCTTTTGAAACTGGTCTTATGGCACGAGATTCATTTGCGATCACATGCTGGGCCATTGTCATTTGCACACTTTTTGGGGCAATTGCATTGCAATTTATGGTTAATCAGCAACATAAACAAAAAGAAAACGAAAGTGATATCCATTAGAAGTGTATATAAAAATCTGACTATTAAATAATTATTAATTATTAACATTAGTTATGATTAAACACTCATACAGAATCAATCATTCCTAATTTTGCTAATATCTAATATCATAATTTAATTTTTTAATGCTGAGACAGGCTTAAAATACGTTTTTATATTTTCGCGTTTCCATCTACGTTAGCTGAACTGGGTAAATAAAAGAACTCATTGACTTTGGCTACTAGGAGGCCACTTTAAATATATATATAAGTTATAGAATTTAATGTGTCGATTTTTTGAAAAAAAATTTATTTTGAATAGATGACAACCAGAAGAATGATCTGGGTAATAATATATGTCTATTCAGATATTTAACTATTATTATCTGATTAAACAGCACAGCAAATGTAAATAAATATCTAGATTTCATTTTTATAATATAATATTTTTTTATCCGGATGTTTAATTATCTTATTTATTAGTAGCCTATATATGTTCTTTTATAAATAAATCAAATGTTGCATAAAGGTTTTTATTAATTATTTTTTATAAGGGTATTTTGATAATTATTTTTTATAAGGGTATTTTGATTAGGGTTGGGGCATGGTGTCCCAAGGCATGCCTCGGGCATGTCCAGGGAGGCATTCCCCTACTCTTTTATATAGAAAAACCTCACATATTAAAGTTTCGTTGATTTGATTGGTCAATTATCGTAGTTGATTTGACATAAGTTAGGTTAACAGTTAATCAATTATGATATCTAGAGAGGGCATGCCCAGGGCACAGAGGGGCATGCCCTCGACAAAGGCATGCCCAAAAAAATTTTCGTGCCCCCAACCCTAATTTTGATAGAGTTAAGTTATTTTATCACATATGTGACAGTGGCTTATTTATCACTACTAGATTAAATGTCATCACATATATTTATAAAAACTTATAAGTCAGTTATATATCATATAAAAAATTAGTTTATTAATTTAAGAAAAAAACTGTTTCTACATAAAATTTATAGTATTTAAAGCCAAGATTATTTAATAATTTTAATAGTTAAATTACTAGTCTAAAAAATATTATTAGCCCGTTACTTAATATATTGCTTATGTACTGCGTACTTACCAAAAAACTTCTTTATTAACAGATGTCTCCTTTAATGATTATCAATAAATTCAAAAATTTTATAAAATGATACAGCAAATTAAATCACACATACTAGCAATTTAACTACATAAGACTTCTTTTTATTGACTAGCTTCGCTGGTCCGTTGCAATCGCTACGCTATGGCTGTTGCCTCTGCTTCACTCAGTTTAACTAAAGCATTAAAATCTAACAATAATCAAATTGATTCAGTGAATAATAGAGTTGGCAAATTATTATGTTTAATTGCATTTGACTTTTTTTGACGTATATTCAATTTTAATTAGATATATGTCCAAAAAATTCAAATGCAATTGGATACAGTATAGTACAGTAAATTAAATCACACATACCAGTAACTCAACTATACAAAACCTCTCTTTATTGACCAGCTTTGCTGGTCCATTGCAATAGCTGCACTACAGCTATCACCTCCACTTCACTCAGTTTAACTAAAGCATTAAAATCTAACAATAATCAAATTGATTCAGTTAAGAATAGAGTTAGCAAATTATTATGTCCAATAGCATTTGACTTTTTTTGGACATATATCCAATTTCAATTGGGTGTATGTCCAAAAAAAGTCAAATTCAATTGGACATAATAATTTGCCAACTCTAGTTAATAATAGTTTAATATTACACAGCAATACTATAAAGCAAGTTAAAGTGCTAAAACTATACAATATGAAATAACATATACATAATTTTCATACTAATCATTTGTTAGGACAATTTTGTTGATCCCTCATCAGCAAACTCTTTTTAAAGATTTGTATCGATTACTAATCGATTTGTTTAAATGATATATATCGATTTAACTGCTATATATCAATATATATTACTATAAATACAATACAATTATAGATGATTATAGTTATATAATGATATATATTATATTGATTATTAATGATTATTAGTTATATAACGATATATATCACTTAGATTATTAATGATTATTTTCAAATTCATTAAATTTTATTAAAGTTTGAAATCAATTTTCTCGATAACTAATGATTGAAATCAGCTGAAATTTTACTTTTGATAATATTGATATTCATAAATAATATACAAAAATTTTAGCCAATTCTAATAACTACTAGTTCATGAGAAATTGCTTATTTACGGTAGTTGATTTTTAAAAAATTAACTACGTATTGTATATAAACGATTTCTCATAAACTAGTTATTAGAATTGGCTAAAATTATTTATGAATATCGTACTATCTATAGTAAAAATTTCAGCTGATTTCAATAATTAGTTATCGAGAAAATTGATTTCAAACTTCAATAAAATTTAACGAATTTGAATACATTTATTAGATTAAGGTTTTTCAAAATTAAGTTTCGGAACATAAATTTGAGATTCAGTTTTCCGAAACCAAAATTATATTTGGATTTCAGATTATATATCCATAGCTTTGGGTAATTTTCTTTATGGTCATACGTATGGGTTAGATTATATATTTTATTCAGAATTGTGTATTTTTTTACTCATAAAACAAGTGTATAACACTTAAATACATGAAAATAAAAAAAAAAAAACTTCTCAATGGTTAAAAATTTTCCAAAGGAAATTAAAATAAAATTTTTGATTTATATCCACCATGCCCAGCATAGATATACAGTCCTTGAGTTGCAGATTGTATATAAATATAAATCCAACGTTATGTTATCTCAATGATAATAATAATGATAATAAGAAATGATAATGATAATAAGAAATAAAAATGATGATAATAATAAGAAAAAAATTTTAAACAAAATTTATAATCCGAATCTGAGCACCTAACAGATTTGAAATCCTGCTCTAATCCAACCTGACAAAATATAACTCTTAGATAATCGTGTAGATGAGCTGATGGTTTTGAAATCTTGCTCTAACCCAACTTTAAAAAATATAACCTTTAAAAATCACGTAGGTGAACTAAAAAGTTCACAATCTTCCGGTTCATCAGAAAATTTTAATTCAACTTGAACGAAATCAGAATCACCGGAATCTGAATAAGCAAATAAACAAATTATTTATGTTGATAGCATTAAGAACATTGAATAATGTGCACATATAACTATTTACAATACCTTTAAGTTTAACTATTTCTCTTGTATTAATTAATTTGCTAGTGTACATGGAGTTTCTGTGTATTGGAGTAACTGACAATGTATTGATTTTCCTATTAGCATCAATAAACTTCTTTTTAATTTCGAGCTTTTCATCTGGCAAATTTTGTGATTTTAAAATATTTTGCCATTGATAAATTTTTGAAAAGATATCTTTAGCAGTAGGCCGCTTTTGTGGATCTGAATCTATACATTGCTTGGCTAATTCATTATAACAGTCTGGCACCTCTGAAGATAGATTTGGTCGCAAACCATTAATTATATTTAACGCAAGACCGACATCGAATTTATATCCATCAAATGGACGAGCTCCGGTTGACAATTCGATCATAATAATACCAAAACCATAAATGTCAGCCATCTGTGTATATTGATAACCTGACAATACTTCTGGAGCAACGTATGGTATGACACCATGAATTATTCCTTCTGAAATATCTTCATCTTTCTTTTTAGATAATCCAAGATCTGCAACATAAGATTCTATATTTCCGCTATTGTGCTTCTTTTGCAAGATATTTCCACTATGAAAGTCGTTATGAATATATCCGGCATCATGGATTTTAACTAAATCATATAATATATTAACAAGTATTTGCAATTTATCTTCCCATATAAGGTGTTTGAAATTTAATTCCAGGCATTGATGAAGATTTCCTTCATTAGCAAATTGAAAAACCATCAAGTATTCATTACTCGAACTTTTAGTTAACCCGTAAATTTCAAGTCCGGTGCCTTTTAATCTACATTCTAAATGATTTTCAAACTTAAAAATGTATAAAATTAATATTAATTGGATTATAAATTTTTCAGTCAACATCAATTTTTACCTACTTCTTTTAAAAAATCAGAAGAGCCATCATCATCATCCGAGGAAAGAGTTTTGAGTGCAACTTTACAAGATTTTTCTCGTGATCTCCTATATGTTTCGTTTTCGAATTCAACTTTGCGCACACCATCTAACCAGATTGCTGAAAATATTGTGCTAAATCCACCCCTTCCAATTGGTTCAATATCAGTGAGTTTGTCAAATGGAATCCATTCAATTACTTCTTCATATGCTATCGCTTTTAGTTGAAATTTTTTGATAAAATCATCAATAGCTTTATCTCCACTCGTCCACCCTTCAATTACTTCATAAGGATCACATGTTTGGCACCAAACCGGAAAGGTATTGTCTTCGTCACAATATTTACATTTTCCATAACCAGAAAATCTAACATTATTACAGATAGTTTTAGCGTTGAAATTTTAAATTATAACATAAAAAATTAAAAACATGAACATATATTCACCGCCTAATTTATGTAAAAGAATTGAAGATATTATTAATACAAATTCATGTTGAAATTCAGCTTTAATAAATGAACTTTATACTCACGCACTGATAATACAATATATGCAATTTATTAAAATATTAATGTCCTTATTAATATTAATAAAATTTCAATTAATAAATAGCTTATACGTACTCTCTAACAATATAAATTATGCAATTTATTAGAAGTGTATTTAACGCTAAATCCTCTTTTAATAATTATTTTTGAACTTTATACGTACGACCTGATTTATGTTAAAGCAATATTTTAATATATTTCATGAAATAATATATATTTCACATGGGCCGGCCAATGGTCTACCATATAAATTGATGTAAAATCGATGTAATTTGTTACATTTTGACTTTACATCAAGGGAAAAACAATAGGATCCGTATCACTTCATCGGCACTCATATCGTCGATACAACAATCAATTCATCAACAA